AAAGAAAATGTGAGTGGGTAAGGTAATTCGTGCATGTTGCCTGCCTTCTCGGTGTCATATATTTAAATACTTTTTAAAAATGATCATAAAACATGTAAAAACCTCTTCTGACTGACAGAAGTGTCTTGCACTATTAACCCTGCTTTATCTCAATCGTGTTGTAAGATAATAATGAACAAAAACAAATCTCAAGGATTAGGTGATGAATTTCCGTTACACCCATCAAAATAACTGCGAAAATAAAGTAATGATTCCAAGCTGAATTTCATTAAATGTCGTTATTAAGCGTGATTATGGCAGTTGTTGATTTATATTGTTAAAAATGTACGGCCTGTTTTTCCTAATTCCTTCAATTACACCATAACTTTTCCTTATTTTGGCGGCGTGTTTCTGAAACACCACGAAAACAATATTGGTGGTATTAATGAGAGCGGCAATCGTCTAAGAATGAGGCTAACAATGGCATATTGAACAGTATTTTTCTCTTAAAGATTCGTTAAGGAAGTGTGATAGTGGAGGAGAACCCTTAAGTTCTCGCCAACGCAATCAACTCTTTGTATTTTATCACGGTGTTCCTACAGTGTTTCACCGAAACAGAGGAACTCATCATATTCCTTTTTGTATTGTTTTTATCCCCTTTGTCTCAAGAATAAATGCTGCAAAAATCAGTAAGGTTCTACCCAATTTCACCGCTAAACTCATTTACCGAGCAACTCGAATGAATACAAATATGTGATGATAACAAGTACGTCAAATAAATTTAAAAAAAATACAACTTATTTCCCTTATTTGAGATTGTTTACCAGCCATAATGTTTTCATTAAAATTCCAGATATTGTTTTCATCAAATGCAGCAACAATAGTATAGTTTTATGCTTAAACCTCCTAACATTTGCAATTAAAAATGGTTTATCTTGTTCCGCCAAAAGACACAAAAAGCAATTCCCTAAACGATTCAAATTTGACAGTAGTTAAAAGTCAATTGAATTCGTTTACAAAGGCAACTCGGAATCTTGCGGCGACAACCTACGCTATAGTGACTAGAACGTTGCTACTCAACAATATTTCTTCAACTCGTAAGTTACGAACTTTAAACACTAAAACACGTTCGCGTGGTTCTTCAACTACACAGTTAAACATTGCGTTACATGTCACGCTGTGCTATTCAAACATGTGGCAATAGAAAACACAGCTGACTTGTATTTGCGTTGACTGGTCTTTCAAATGTTGGATGACGATCACTTAGCGGAAAAGCCAACAATATATAATTTATATGTCGCTCAAAACACAGTAAACCTTAATATTCAGGAGCTCTGGAGGACAAGCAAGAGGCGCTTAAAATATGCCATGCCAAGGATTTCGACTGTCGTTGTTTTCCGAGCGACTTTTGCGTTGGTTTTGTTCATTTTGATGGGACAGATTTTATTGTTTGCACTGACACGCTGTAAAGGACTAGGAGATGACGAGCTCAACTCGAAAAATCATGAACGGCAAGCTGAAATTCCCACGGAAAAATTGTCGTCGTTGATGGAAAAAATTCGACTCCTGAATCTCGATGTTAAAAATCTGAAACAGGAGAATAACGCCTTAAGTGGTGTCATTCGCGATCTAACCGCACGTAACAAGGACATCTCGAAGCGTTTAAAGCGGCTTAAAAACGCGGAGAAATTCACCATCGCTCAAGAACTCAGCCGAGAAAAAAGCCGAAAGGCGAAAGGAGAATTTTTGAAAGGTCAACCCTTAAGAACTGAATTTGAGGTCGTTCCGTTCGACGGCGTAGCGTTCAATGCAATTTATCAGATTTATCACGGTCTCTCGGGTAATCCTGCCGAAAGACCGCATGGACACAAAGGAAAAGATTACCTAGAGGTTATGAAGTTTGCCGTTGATGCTCTTAAAAACTACGAGGGCAGGAACATGGAAATCACAGCGAGAGATCTTGTGGATGGAGTAATGCGCGTCGATCGGATTATTGGTTCACAGTACGATTTTTATTTCAGATCAACAAACAACAAAGTTTTTCACCGAGTCAAAATTGAACGCCCATTTGGTCCTCTGAACCTCGCAGGTAGCATTGAGACAGTCGACACAAACAACGAGCTTATAAACTTGATTCTGCCGCTATCGGGTAGGCTGGATAAATTTAAAGCCTTCCTGGACAATTTTGTCGACGTTTGTGTAAGATGGGACAGATCGGTTTTTCTCACCGTTGTTTTCTTTGGCCAGGCCGGTAAGGAAGAATTGGAAACCATGATGGAAAACGTCTCCAAGGCAGAGAATTTCACAGACTATAAACTCATATTTTCGAATGAGACATTTTCCAGAGGCTATGGTCTCCAACAGGGTGCTACTTCCTGGGAGAAGGGCAATGTCCTCATGTTCTTTTGTGATGTCGATGTGTTATTTACATCTCAATTTTTAGATCGCTGTAGATTTTACTCTACCCCTGGGGTGAAACTCTACTACCCAGTTGTATTTAGTCTCTACAACCCCACCATAGTATATGGAGGATCACCGCCTCCAAACCAGAACCAATTTCGCATAAATCGTGACACTGGTTACTGGAGAGATTTTGGTTATGGAATGACTTGCCAGTACAGAAATGACTTCATAAAAATTGGTGGTTTTGATCTTTCAATCAAAGGATGGGGAATGGAAGATGTGAAGTTATATCGAAGCTACCTTGCCAGTGACTTGGTTGTTATTCGGGCCGCAGACAGAGGAATCTTTCATACATGGCATCCAAAGTACTGCAGTCGAAATTTAACTCAGTCACAGTTTTTATCCTGTATTAAGAGCAAAGTGAAGTCAGAAGCTTCTCACTCACAACTTGGTCTTCTAGCTTTTGGTGGGAAAATTTTTGATGAAAAAGAAACTAACTGGATTGGACAGCTTAAGGCTTCAAAGAAAAATAAAATTACTGAGGGAAAAAAGTCAGCAACCACCTCTCAATGAGAACCTTTATCTAAAAACTAAACAATGTGTAAATGCACCAATGAAATCAAAGAAATGATGGGAAATCCTTGCAATTGTTGATGTACAGGTAAATAATGCAAACACATGCTGTATTTAAAATTCTCCCTGCACAAAGATGTGTACAGATAACAGTGGTGTAAATAAAGTGAATTTTTCCAGGTCTTAGTTCACAAAAATGATACTTTTATTTAACATATCATCAGAGTTTTGTACCGCTTAAAATCTGAGTAATATTGAAGTGAAACATAACCAAACAATATACCTAGTGTGGTTGTAGAAGGAAAGTCAGAGGAAATAGAGAAAACTTTTAAAGCCCTGAAATTCACAGCAAAAATTAGCAATTCTGAGTCTCCACATTTGAAATTATTTTATGGATAATGCACTCCAAGCTACATGATCTTTAAGGTAATTTCCACCTTTGAGGCTTGTGTTTTAGCCTATGTGATGTCACCCTTTTTTTTTTTTTTGCCCTGAGGTAGGAATTCTGGAGCAAGTCCAGTTTAGCCTAGAGGTGCACAGGCGGATTGATCTTTTTATTGAGAATTGTTTCAGGAAGTGATTATCACAAGAGGATTTTGAGGATAATAATCCTGTGTTCATTTAGGAGCTAAGATTTTGTCATGAACAGTTATGAGATCTTTCTCTAATGATGACTTCAATAAGTAACAAACCGGTTTGTGGTTTAAGGTATTTAATATGAATGAAGGGGTCTTGAGTAAACTTTGTACTAGAATAGAGTTGTACAATTATTTATTGCTGTTGTAAAGGAAGTGTCTGTGAGAGCTCCAATTTTCCTGTACAGGAAACACTTTGAAGAGGAGACAACTTCAAAAAGACAATATAGAACCAAGCATATGAAAGAAAAACATAATTTGATTAGGATTAAAATTATTGGCTGTAAAATTAAAAATTTAAGTGTTCTGGGGAAAAATGAGTTAATACAATTATTTTAACACTTAACACTATAAGAAACTGTATCAATGCAAAATTTCTAGAAAGGGGCAATGGATAAGTGTCAAGAACCCCCTGAATTAAGGGAAACTCAAGTCCCTGATTTGACATTGCTGTCAAGGTCTTTTTCATTTCCAAAATTAAAATTTACAAATGCCAGCTGTTTTGCACATTGGAGATCATTAGGTCAGACACAGAAGAGTTAAACTCTGATTACAAAGGCTTTCTATCAACTGTGGTCAAATTAAAACTCCATTTAATTTAGCCATTTTTGGGGGGATTGTTTACCTATGGTTGTGGATTGATTGCTACCACAAAGACATCTCCTTTGGGGCAATCAAGTTCAAACTTAACTATGTACATTTTTAAACACTTAAAATGATTAATTATTAAGAATGGTGTTAAAACAATAGTTCAGCTGCAATAATTTTCTTAACTTTGTTCACATAACATGAAAAATTACATTTCAACATATTATTGAGAGCATGGATTATTTCATGACCTGTGCCTTTCATTTCACTTCACCTTTTAGGATTGGAATTGAAGATTTAGCCACTGTAATAGAAGACGGTAAAAATTGTGGGAAAAGTGAATTATTCATGTTACACTTAGATAAAAAGATCAAACATACAAGTATAACTGAGACATTGAAAACGTTTTATTATAATGGGCAATCTCTTAATTGAAATACTCTTAGATTTTATTAATAATTAAAAACCACTTTGTGAAAATGCTATGGGTTTGCAAAATGAAGAGTGTTTTCCAAGACTGTGTTTTCTGAGATTTTATGCTTCACCACAGCTCACTTTAAGAAAAAAATAATAAAATAGATACCGTGGTTTAAAGAGCTAGGTTTTGAAAAGCATTATTCTGACATCTTCAATAAGTGATAATTTTTTTTCAAGTTCTACAAGTATATATTGTGGTAACTGTTTTTGTCGGTCAATTGCAGCTCTGAAAGGTACAGGCACAGAAGATCTGACTGTTGTAAATTATACACTGTCAAATGAAGTTTTAATCAACCCTTTCCAAGTAAACTTTTATTTGATGGAATGGTGATTGATAAATCCATCTAAAGATCTCACTTTTTTATTATTCTAATTGTCACCATTAATTCCAATTGCCTTGAAGAATGTTATTACCTACTGAATATGTAACTTTTGTTGACTACAAGCAATTCAGGGAACCATGTCACCATTTCTATTTCCTTTATATTGAGCTTCAACAATGGTGTGATCTGAAGTTTTCTGTAAATATATAACTGCACAGGTAATAGAGACACTTGAATGCTAAGAGAAACTTAAATCAAGAACAAAACAAAACAGTGCTGAAACATATCATTTAAAGCAAGCTTTTGAACCTTTGCCAGACCCCATCTGCTCAGCTTCTCTCAAACTAGCACTGACAGTGAATGGGTGATTCATCCTATGTTGTGCCAAATTGTTTTAATGTTTAGACAAGAAGCAAGAGCAGACTCATTTTTGCCATTGATTGTTGGTAATTAAACTATCATTGAGCTAACTATATGCTCTGTATTAAAAGATTTTATTGACCACTTGCACATTCAGTGGTATTATGACTAATAATTTCTCCCTTGTAATGACATTATTTCACTCTTTACTTCACACTTCAAGGGATCCATCTGACTATTGAATTTCAGACAGAACGCAACATCACCAAGAAGTGTGTAATTGACCCACTTAATTTGATCAGGTCATGACAACAATACATTTTATCATCCTGCATGGAAACCCAGCACATGTAGAGGCCCAAGGCAATCCTTCCCTATATTCATGTACACTGAATATCACTCATAGCAAATCTCTTTTAAACAATTTCCTATGATGACAAGAATTCACTTACTACCTTAAATTATGCTGCACACTGAAATCACTGATAGCAATGGACCTGCATGACCAATTTTATCTCAAACAAAAACCAATGACACCTGGAATATAATTAACCATTTCAATTCAGGTCAGGAAACAATACATTTTACTACCCTAGCATACACATGTGCGATCACTACTTACTTCAAAAAACTACACACCAAATCAATTCTTGTCAAGTTAATCATTTCTTAGGAACCATAAAGAATTCAATTTGGCCCTCTGAATGCAATTGCATACACCTAACTGTTTATCTGCTAGTTAGAGTAACATTATGCTTCTAAATTAAATTGCTGCATCAGAAAACTACAAGACTAGTGCAGTATTGCTGTATTGTTTACGTATCATTTTTATCACAGCAAATATAATGCAAAATGGAAATACCTGCAGATTACACACTCATTCACCTACCTAATGTACTTAACACACTACACACCATATTTATCAAATTGTTCTACTGACCTTGGATAAAATGGTTATCAAAAATTCTCCTAGGCTTACTAGCAAATTTAATATGTATTCTGTACATTCAGCATCAAAAATTACATCAAACATTTTGTTGGCTTCAGTCAATGATGGCTGAAAAATTTCAGAAAAATTTGATTCAATTGTTGCACAGACTGTAGGCATACACAGATCCACATTACTGCACAGCATATCAGAGTTTCTGCCAGACAATGAATTTTACACGATACTTTTGCATGGTTTAATCCCTAGTCTCTTCACTAATCAACCCAAGATGTAGCCATGAAGGCCAGAAGGCTGAGTGCACAATGAACCCTCTTTTTTTTTTTGGCAACATCCACCTACAGCAAGACCATAAAGAAAACTGTGATAAATTAAAGAAAAAACAGACTGCGCTAGTATCATAAAGGCTGTAAACTTTCAAATAGTCTGCTAATGCCATTATTACATTATTTGGTAATTAATTATATTTATTGGGCAAATTTAACACTAGATAACAGCCTTTTAACAATACACCATACACATTTCTAGCAACATTGCTTAAAAAATCCTTTTCTTTATTCAGTTATTGTCAGTGTAGTAATTCCTATCCATTCCTTAATATAAAATTACAATTCAGGTAAACATGAATTATTTCCTTATCAAGTACAATTCACTACTACATGGCACACCAACAATCCACAATCATGATAATCATAACTGATACTGCTTCTTGTTTAACACATAGATTAAATTTGAGTGTAGACCAATATAGTGAAAATCTCTGCACGTATATAACTGAACTCTAAAATATTGCTCAGTTTTACAATATATGAACATATGCATGTATAGATCATTTCATGTGGTGTCTAAAAATAACATTTAATTTTTGCATAAACTTTAAAGATTGATGATATCACATCAAGATAACATTACAGATCCTAAAATTTGTGGAATTTGATATTGCTCAGCTCAATGTTGGCCATTTTAAAATGAAAATTTACTCAGTAAAAATTGAACTATGCAGAATTCGATGTAAAATACACAGAACTGTCCTTGCCTACAGAAAGCAGGGGCTTTGTATCTAAATTAGGTTGGTGTTCTTCTCTTACATCTGCAAACCATTATTTTCATGCTGTAAAATTGCTGCATCATCCAAATATGTCTTTGGAAACAGTATTTTAAAAAGAAGACTTTTTTATGCAATATCTTTTCATTTATATAATCTAGTGAGAGAAGTACTGACTGTTTCATTCTGTGAAAAGAATGAAAATAATTAAATCACACTGAGAGTCAATAAGCCAAATACTTTCCATAGGTTTGAATGCACAAGTCTGCAGTTAACTAAAATGATTCATCTTTGGGGTTTCACATGCTACTACAGTTGTCAACAGAAGATAATCTACAACATTTTCTAGTATCATATAAAGCAAATAGATTCCACATTGCCATGCCACTGTTCAGTAGTAGAACACAGATGACATCAAAATGTGGTACATTTGGCACAGCAATTCTTAAACATGATAAATGGGAGATAATTTTTGGGACAACTTTTGTCTAGTTAAAACCCTAAACAATTCAGGATAGCTTCTTGAGTAAGTAATTTAAGATCTAAACAGTTTTACAAGGAACCATCTGTTGGCCTAAACAACAAAAGGACAATACATGTCACCATTTGAGCATCTTGAAAAGTTATGACCTAAAATATTTCCAGATTGTCATCATAATCTGTTTCAATCATCTCTATCCACATTCATCCTTTGTTCTTTTTGATTGATTTAAAACCCTTTAATCCTCAAGAACTGATTACTAGTTCTTCTTTGTGGCTGGTATGAAACTGGATGACTTGTAATTAAGTCAATTTAAGAGCCCTGTACTGAAGGAAGCTTCTACAAATATACTGATATAAAAATATCATTTACCCTTAAGTAAAATTCTAATCTACAAATTTTACAAGAGCTGGAAAAGATCACCCAGGTTTTCCTCATTAAAACTCAATTCTAATTTGAACAAGCTCATTTGAAAACCTTTATAGATAAAAGATTTCTAAGTTCTGTGTTTCCAGTCTGTTTTTTTTCCAAAATAACTTTCCTAATCCGCATCAAATAAAGACCTTTACATGATACATTTTGGCTTAAAAATCTATCTCAGTCAAAATAGCAAATTAAGGCAATCACTTTCTTATCTACAAAAATTACAACATACATGTACATATAATCAAGTTAAAATGACTGACAATAACACTATCCTTCAGCACTAATTAATATGACTATTATTTTGTGACTGTACAGTCCCTAATGGTGGTGACTACTTTTAGCAAACCAGTTTGAATTGCATCAACAATGCCAGGAAATGATCCTAAACTTGTAAGAACTTCATGAGCTCCTTCCCTGAAGTGAACATGAATAGCAGAAAAAAGAAAACAATTGTGGGACAAAGTTGTCATGATCCATCAACACAAACTAAGTAGACATCACAATCAATGTGAATAGAGTAGAACACTGCTACCTCAAACTCAGGGTAATTTAGTATTACCTGCTGAGTTGATAACATAAATTGGCCTCCATAAAGAGTTTCAAAGCTGACATTTCAAGCGTTAGCCCTTTGTCAGAGTGAATGACGAAGGGCTAATGCTTGAAATGTCAGCTTTGAAACTCTTTACGGTGGCCAATTTACATTTCACTTATCAAATCAGTTGATAATACTTAATTACTCTGTTATGCTTTCCCACCCACACAGCACCACAGTTTCTTTAAAAAATTACCCCCTTAACTCAAACTCTGTTTACTTGACTCCCTACTAACTTGAACAAAATCAGATTTACTCTGGATTTGACCTTATTGTTTCAGTAAATCATTTACAATCAGCAAACTTGAACTCCCAATTAGCTCAAACTTCCCATAAATTTGAACTAATTTTACTTTCTCTTGCCTCAAATTTACCCTGATAACTGGAACTGTTGGTAAATATGTTAGTTGATAAACATTAAAGTTTTAGAACATAGCTAATAAACATATCCCAATCTTTAATGACGATTTATATGAATGTGATAACATTTATAAAAATGCAATGTTGAAGTCCATGAAAGCCCAATAAGCATCTGATCATTGTTGATATGACAAGTTACTCTACAGTAATTCCTGTAATTTCTTTCTAAGATAATGCAGTCCAAACATGACATAATTACTGCATTTATTTGATTAAATGCTGCAGCGTTTATCAAATTTTCTGTGATTCAAGTGCAGCATTTATGCAAGGGAGGGGTATGTACGAAGTGGCATTTAAAATCCAATTTATTTCTTGCAAACAATAGTATGGTAACTGACCATTTTAACTTAAAAAAACAGAAACTTATTTTAGTGCTTGTCTAAAAAGTCATTTCTTATATTGTTCTCAATTTCACAATTTGCATGTCAATACATAAAGTGAATAAAGACCTTATGTTGGATACACTTTCTCGACGTCAGAACTTGTACATTCAAAAAAAATTTGTGTCTGGTTCTCTTTAAATTTCCAACTGTGATTGAAGCAATGATTGCTGTGTGCTTTTTGAGTCTATTATTTGAATAAACATAGCCTCATGCTGTGGCATTCATTCAAGGACAGTGTTTATCAATATTTCTGCTCTAAAATGCAGTATTTATTCGAGGGCGGTGTTTAATCAAATAAATACGGTTACGTAATTAACGGATTAAATATTGCACACACAATTAAAAAACTTTGCTTAAAAGTCCTTCACAACAGTGGCAATCTCAAGCAGAGAAAGCACAACCTTTGTTTTTCTTATATAAATTTGACTTAACATTATTATCAAAGAGCTTTGACTAATAAAACAAATTAAATGTACCAATTGGTAAAAGCATGATTCCTCGTTATATTGTCACTGGGTTTTTATATATAACTTCTTTATCAGTGAGGTGCAAATCATAATTCAGTTTATAGCATGTATTTTAAATGACCAAGCATTTGGCATCCAGCACCAGGCTGGTAAATAAAAGTGATCAAAACAGCTGATGAGTTAAAAAAAAAACTAGGGTGGGGAATTAAGGGGCTTGCCTGCTTTTGCACAGTACAATAATTATACTTGCAATTATGTGTATGAATGCATTGCATTTACCCATCCACTCCGAGGAGTGATCAGAAAGAAAATTTTCCATTCAATATTGTAACATTTACAAGTAAAAAGGAGATGAAAAGAAAGAAAAACATTAACTCTTTAACTCCCAGATCAAATTTGTCATTCTCCTTACTGTCAACCATACAATTCTCATAATGTTAGTTCAGAGAATTTAGCATTGGATTAACTAATTATCCCCAAATTGATATTTGTCTTTATTCTCATCTCTTATCTGGTTGATATTGATATTGTGAGGAGAAATTCTCTTTTGGTCACTTATGGGAGTTAAAGGGTTAAATTTGGGGATATTGTTTGATATGACATCAAATTATAAGAGCTAAAATTGTAAACAATGTAACCATAAAGAACAGTACAAAGAGTTGATATTTTGATCTTAGCAGTTAAAGGTTTTCTAGAGTAGCTGCCCTAAGAAACATGCATTTACACCAATTTTCATCACCACCTTTAATTTAATTTATAATGGCAAAGGACACCATTTTATGGTAATGTTTTGAATGCTTACTCCTCTTTCAACATGCCTAGTTTAGTTTCTTTTCATACCTTATCAGAACATCTACAGCCTTTTCTCTTTGATGGCTGAGAAGGTACATGACAGTCCTTAGGCCATGACACTTGATCGTCTTATCTGTTGACTACAAAAGCAAGTTGCTACATCAAAAATTTTTCTGTGGCCTACACTTTGAATTCAGTCAAGAGACCATTCAAAAAGTGAGTAAGGATGGTAGGGTCCACAATACATTAGAAAAAAAATTCTTAGGGAATAAGGAACCAAGAGCCAATATTCCACCAGTATGGCACTTAGCACATTTGTTTAGTAAAAGATTTATTACATGACTAGAGACTGCCTTCAGTTTCTCAACTTTTTTCTGTTTTGTCTTCCTGCTTTTGTAAGATTTACAAGCTCTTCTGGAACTCAAAAGCCAAACCCTAAAATTTTGCAATAGACTTACAATGATCATCAGCTTCTTTACTGTAAGTAATTCATTATCCAACTGGTAAATTTACCATTTAGTGATTCATTTCAAAGTTATAGCAAGATGAAAGCTGCTTCCAGGTATTTCTTGGAAATGATGATTAACAACAAAAATTAATTGAACAATAACTATTTTGCATGTCTGCATATACGCCCCACTGTGATTATTTGCTTGATACTCATTACTTAAAGATTTCATGAGAACACTCTCTTAATTCAACATCTTTCAATTTCTCTCAGCTCTAGGTGAGAACATGACACTATAATGGCAATTGGTGATGGAGTTTTGGCTAAGTGCAATTTCTCCAAAGAATGTCATCCCTACAGACTTCAATCTTGTCTGAAATGGCAAAACTCCTCCCCTGAAGGAAGTGGAATCACTTGGGAGAATGCTTAGTCCAATAGTGCCAAAATATCAGCCCTTAATGGACCAGTAATGGAACCTTTCAATAGGTTGATTATAGTTATCTGCCCTCAGTCAGTAATGTATAGCTCCTTCCACTTTTAGATTTACAAGTACCTTCAGGTGTGTCTCTATAATTCTTGGCAGATATTGTATCTAAAAGAAAAAAGAGATAAATTATTACAAAATAAAAAATGTCAACCTATTATTTTCATGCAAACAGAGTCAAGTATAAAAAAATAAGTGAATTTTGGAGAAAAGTTACCGAATACAGTCCAGCACCATATTGAAAAATAAAGACATACCATAATAGATGAATTCTGATGAAACTTTGAAAAGTTACCAAGGGCTCTGGATACATGTGTCTGTGAAAATATGTAAACTGTTTTTAACTATGATGTTATAAAATAACTCAAATAGTGACAATGATTAGGAACTGTTCCAAAAATCTCTTAAAAGCCAAGAGTTTTAAATTCATAGTTAAGAACAGTTAAGATCATAAAAGAAGTATTAAGATTGACTAGCATCCAGTTATTCCTCACAGTACCCCCCTGAATCAAACATTTAATTTGTGAGAATAAAGAAAATGATCACCAACAAAAGAATTTCTTGATTGTTAAACAAGTTTTTTTTTGTCAGCAGCTTTGAAAATGTATAGAGAACAGAATGGAGAATATGCTTACTGATGCTAGGGTGTAAAGAGTCAAAGAATATACTGTCAGTGACAAATTATCATAATATGGAGGTAGTGGTAATTCTCAGTAAAGAGCTATCAACTACTAATCATTGGGTACCTGGACGTCTTTATGACCAGTGTGAGATGACGTCAGAGAACACATGGCTTGTAAACAATCCCTAAGGGACATCTGAATAAACAAACACAAGCAAATAAACAAATGTTTGCTGACAAGCCTTTTAAAAGGCTACATATTGTGATTGAGTCAACCATTTGAACACTTCATAAGATGGGAAGTCAAGAGAACACACGATTAATACAATATTGTTACTTTGGAAGCTTAAAGAAGTGCTGGACCATAGGAAAAGCATTTAAAGATTGATAAGAAATAAAATCAAGAAGGAAAAGAGAAGTACAGATATCAGAGGCAACATGATGGAGCTTCATGCTTACATTAAGAAATCAGGTCTTTGAAAGGGCCTGGGACCTATTAACAAGAGCAAAATTCACAGTGGAGGATGTCTGGTACATATTTAAGCTTCCAGATCAATTCTTCTAAAATCCTCTTAAACATGTGAATGTAATGTACATTGCCAAGGCACTGTACCTGATCTTGGTCCCCTGTTGCCAAATTTGCAATCAGACAGGATGCATTTACAAGGACCTTATGAGAAAAAGACATTATTTGATATGTTTATCGTAAAATTAGCCACTCTAAAGACTTTCTAAAGCTGATGTTTTGAGTGTCAGCCTTAAAGTCTCACTTTGCTTTTGCACTTTGTTGAAAAAAGGAAATAACAAGTACAAAGAGTTAGGTATCCTCTGAACTTTTTATGGGTTGATAAACCATAACAAAAAAAGAAGAAAAATCTCAATAACACATTGGATCTGATTATCAATTCTCCTTATCAAGAATTAGTTTCAAGAGAGAATTTTCTATTACATCTCCATTGTTAATAAATTTACCTCTTGCTGAAATTTTCATTAACTAAATCATAGAAAAAAATGTCTGATATCAAAATGTGAGGTTGGAGGGAAATCACTTATGGGAGCTGAGATGTTTCATAAATGCATAGACTGCCATGTAACAACAAGCTGAGGTAGAACTTGGAAATTTTGGTAGTCTGAATATTACAGAAATTAAACTCTGGCAATGAATAGTTGTAATTTAGGCCTTCCAAATACAATTTTTGTTACCTGTAGATTTTTTGGTCCTCTTGTAAGGGCTTCAACTAAACATCGACCAGCTGAGAAATCTTCCTGGAAACAGAATTAGTGCTGCTACATTCATTCTGTTATACTTACAGAGAAAGCTACCTGACTGGCTGGGGTTGGGAATTTGAACCTAAAGTTACAAGTCTTTCAGTGGAATACAAGGATTTTATATTTAAATATGGGGGTGTTTAAAGGTAAATAGTTCACTTGTGTGAGCAAATGGCTCAGAAGAAAAGCTCTACAAGGTCTAAGTTTTAAAACTTGGTCAATGTGTAGTCACTGATGTAACCTTTAAAAAAAATTACCTTCATTTTTTTGAAGGGGGGGAAAGGCATTTTAACACAGCTTCTGCCCCATGGGAGGAATGGGAATGCAAACAAACCAATCTTTTAAGGTTCAAATGCCTAGGGGGGTTCATTGGAGAGAATGTTGAAGCTTTGAATTGATTAGGGTATAACTTTAATTGGTTGATCAAGACCCTCACACACTTGAATGACCACAACATAACGAGGTACACTGCAGTTACAATACATGTATCGCTATCATTAGTAAACCATTAACCTTTATGGCCTTTTCTGCCAAATTACATCAAAGAAGGCCCAGGTAAAATTATTTGTAATATTTACTCTCCACAAGATCATAGTAATTGTAAATCAAAGTCCACTCCATTCATTAACAACTAAAAAAATTATATTCAACTCCATTTTTAAATTAAGTACTAATTTTTTAAAGCACAAATCGATTCTTATCAATCGCTGTTTAAAAATTCAGTATGAGAACAACATTAAATCTTCTCTGAATTTAAAAAAAAGCAGCACTGATCATGAAACTTAACACATATTAATTGTACATCTGCTTCTAATATTTACCAGCTACATAATAATATAAATTTTAAAAAGGCAAGACCACCTGAACAATGCGATGCCTCTGCCAGTCTGTACCAACAGACATCTGTGCCAAAATTCTCAAGGATATTTCTTGAATCTATAATAAATGTACATCTACATTTTATCACATAAAGTAACAAACATAAAGGGTACACTGCTATCTGCAAGTTCTGTGCAAAATTAGTAACAGTGCAACACCAAAACAAAGATGATCAGAATTCTTGTTGAAAGTTATGAAAAGGTAAAGACAGTCTTAAAAATTCTTTAGCTGCTGTTGACTTCAAGGGAATATAGCGAAATGTTTTATTAGTTCCAATTTGGGATCAAAAAAGATAAATCTGTTCACATGTTTAATCCACTAATACTTTAGTCATGTACCTTTTCATCTTGTGCCTTTGTCAAAGCTAGAATTCTTGGCAGGGCATTCCGATTGCTCTGTCAGCACAATGAAAAAAAATTTAAAAAAAAAATCATTTTTAGAATACTAGATGATGCTTGTAAAAAAATCAATAATAAAAAATTATGACAAACATGTGAAGCTCAAAAGACAAATTAAAACCTCTATAAGGGGAGCTACATTGCCATGATGCTCAACAATGTGACTCAATGTCATCAGGGCAAGGAGGGCAATGGCTTCTTTCATTGCACACACTGTTAACACAGGATCTAATGCACCATCAGCTAAGGCTAGAAGAAAAAGAAAGCAGTGCTTTTAATTAGTGGGTGTCTGTTGCTGTGAATTACACAAAGCTTTTCATAGGCTAACTCGCAACTACAGCTTCATAACTTCGTAACTCTGGAGAAAGATTTTTTTGTTGCCACAAGTGTGGGACAAAGAAAAAAGTCTGCTTGATATTGGAAGGAGTAATTCTGTCTTAGTCACTCATGGGAGTCAAATGGTTAAACTGACCTTGTGCTTTTAATTCAGGTGATTTACAAAATATCATCAATGCACTGATTCCATCAATCAAGGTTTGCTCCTGACTCTCACTGACAGTGGAAAGTATGCTGCAATAAACAAAATAATTTAATTCATATTAACCAACAATAACCCATTTAACACTTCTAAAACAAGGAAGTAGTCAGAAAGGTATATCAAGTCTATCACAGTGGTTTTGATACAATTTGGTATAAATGAGTAGTTTAGAATAACAGGCAAAACATTTCGACAGCCTGGAGAGCCTCTTGTTCCAAGGGCTGTCCAGAGTTTCCCAGGTAAAAAATTTGAAGTGCTACTGACACTCTTGCAGCCACATTTTCCTATATTTCAATGTCTCCTCAAATTTGTGTCTACATTGTTCCTTGAGGTCAAGTAATTTAAACAGATTTGAAGAGAACTGCTTGTATGTCAGGAGTAAAATGACAACCACATGTAAAGGTTACATGCGAGTATCCAGCCTATCACAATCCAGCAAATCTACCAGCTATCTGGCTGCTATTGAAACAGCTAATAAAAAAAAATGCATCCTTCTGGAGAAGTCACACCATGGCTAATCTTACAGAGCTTTGCTCTAACTTAAACAAAACAGTGGAGTGATGTAATTAAGAGTGAAATCAAGAGAGCACTGTGTACTCTAAAATTTCAATCTCATTAAGGTAAGTTAAAACAATAGGATATTTATTATATATAAGTGGTTATTTTAGAGCACTTGTTGTGTAGGTAGTAATAAAAACACAGTTAATCCCACCTGCACAAGGCTCTAATGCCTCCACATTTGGCCAACATTAAGTGCAATGGAGGATGAGTAGAAAGGATCTGAAGTCCTGATGCAACAGCAGCCTAACAAATGAGAATTAACATCCTCAGTTACAATGGACCTTAGCGATATTTAGTCTATACCACACAGGTGAATAGTGCTTCTTGTGTGCCCTGATTGGCTAATTAGGAAGTGATTAGCAAGTACTTTTTACCTCTGAGCAGCCATAGAGACAAAATCACTCGTCAACAATTTAGTTTCCAACCAGTTTTTTGGTATGTTGATAGGAATAATTTAATGGTAATTTTTTTGGTTTTTGTGTGGTAGATACTAAAACAATTATTCGCCTCCACTTTGGTGAACAATTGTGCAGATCATGCACGTGAAAGGTGTGAACTTCTGTTGAAATGCAATGACGAGTATGTTCTTTTGCCAGTTATATTCCAAAATTGTCAGGTAAATTGCCCTCCATCCCACATGGCAGTGCAGCACTCTCTAACATGAGCTACACAAATTTGTACAGCACTCTTGACCAATCAGTTATAAACTGACACAACTCCACACTTTTCCACTCAAATCTATATAATTTACTATGAGTTCTAATACAAGGGTTCCTTGTATTTAACTTTGTTCTAATTGGCCATTATCATAACTTTGGTTTCTGTTTTGTAACATGCAATCAAATGCACACTGGTCAAGGAGAAATTAAGTGTTACTCCAGCAATCATCCATGTCATGTGTGCAACTTACAAGTACATCGGCAAAAATAAAAGTGAACATGCTAGAAAACCTGAAAGGGAAACAGGGACAAAATTCAACTAATCTAACTTATGAGAGCCATTAAATCCATAGACTTACTTTTACGTCATAATTCTCACTTTGACTGAGAAATATAAGAGTCTGCACCCCACCCATCTCCACAACCTACATTAAAAAAGCAAACATCAAGATCTTTGAATTAGGCAGTTTGTAATTTATAGAACTTCTGAAAAAATTTGACACCTATAGTACAGACTGCTATGATATGATCTATTGGCTGTAATGCAAATTATCATTTGATTTGGAATGTAAGTCTTTAGTCTAACCATTATTGATTTCTTGGAGAAAATCTTCTTTCAGCCAAATTCAGGAAACTACAGACTCATGGAGACTGAGCTGAATTAAAGTTGGGATAATTGAAAGGCTGGATAATCAAAAACCAGAAATAAAACTGAATACATGTTAATTTAATAAAGAAAAATTAAAAGACATTCTCAAACCATTGTGCATCATTGCCAAAACTTACCAAGCTATTTACAAAACAACACTTTTAAAACAACAAAGTAAAAAAAGCATTTAACTATGTTTTACCTTTGTGAGTCCATCAGGATCTTTGCATAACTCTGTTAAAGCTTTTGCTGCTTCTAGTTTGAATGTCTACAGATACATTGTACAATGGTTACTGTTTGTAACATCGAAACATTATTCAATGTTCGTAATAGAGCAGTTTTCAATTGAGTTGTGAAAGCAATTTTGGATTACTTTTTTTTGGTTTATTTTACTCTATAATTGGGCCAGAAAACTTGCACCACATCTTTAACCAACCAGATACAAAATAAAAAAAACAAGAAAAACTTTTCTCCCACATTTCCCTCTGCATTAAACAGTTTGGTCCATTTTACTTTGAGTTCTATTTGGCTGTTAAGCAGTTTCCTCCTCTCTTCTGCTTGGCCTCTGTGATTACTTTAGTTTTGGTTTTTTGACACTCATTTGAAAAGTGCTTTGAAAGGCTAAATTGGTGACCAGTAAATAAGAAGTAGAAAAACCATTCGACAGAGCATTGCAATTACAAGGTTGTATTAATTATTTTTACCATCTGAAGTGATCTTGACTTTGTGACAAGGGAAGTTACTTCAAGACAGTAGTCACAGATCCTCTCTGGCTCATCAAATCCAAGTTGTGGAAGAGGAACCTAGCAAAACGCATTTTTATCTCATGACACTGAAGACAGTAAATTTCAGATTAACATTGTACATGCCAACATGTTCAAGTTGTGGAAGGGGAACTTAACAAAACAAATTTAAATTTTATATGGCTGCATGAAGACAGCAAATTTGGCAAATGAATATTTTACAAGCACACAATTGAAAAGTTAGAACCTTGAGTTTCGGTAAAAGCTGTCAACAGCAGTCTACCCCAGCCTTACTCTGATTAGACTATGAAATGGCCATTGGGTTTCACTTTACAGCCCCCTTTTTGGCACAGTCGACTATTATACCATGGGCAGCCGCTTCTGAAAAAGTTATGGAAACCCCTAGTGTTGTGATGTCATTGAGCTGTTAGCTGGTCCCCAACCTCTGCACAACATCACCTTATTCAAATAGTTTTCGCACTAATTATCCTTAATCCTTGGGTGTCATTTAGTACATGTCTCCTAACTGTCAGGTAAGTTCTTGCTTCCCTTTCATTGTTTGATTTTCATTTACCTTATTTGTTCTCATTGTAAATTACTATTATGTGTAATACTTCATGTATTTGAGATACCACTGGTTATGTAATTAAAACTTGAGAATTTATTGGTGTGTTCACTACACCTTATCCTTACCCTACACACTACCCAATAATATCTTAACCCTTTAACTCCCAAGATCTGATCATTTAGTCTCCTTTCTTGCTTATACACATTTCCTTGTAAACTAGTGACAAGAATTTGGCATTTAATGAACAAAACATCTACCTGATAAGTTTGAGTATTCTCGTCACCTGTTTGCTAGATATTGTATGGATATTACAGGGAGAAGTTACAATTTAATCAGTTATGGGAATCACAGGGTTAATTTACCATGATATGAAGAACTGGAGAATTAAAACAAATTATACTAAATCTAACTTGGAGATGAACACAAGAATTTTAAAACAACATTTCCATGCAAACCACACTGTAATGTAACAGAGAATGAAGGGTATTTAATCGACAAGGAAGGCACTCCAAGAAGGCATTATATGATAACAAGGATGAAGTTAACAGTTAACTGAGTCACCTTCTCATTACAACACTTGCTACAGAGAACTTTTCCACACTGCCTACAGTGATGTTTTCTCCGGATTTGTGTAAACTTCTGAGAGCAAAGTGGACAGACTTGGGCTGAGTCATCTGCAAGCCACCTGAAAAAAAATATATTGGAGTTGATCATCATATGGTGTGCTGAGATATAATTAAAGCAAAGCAATAAAAATGAGATATAATTTGTAAAAACCTTGTTGGGAAATTTTAACCACGTATAGCATGTAGTGAACATTGTTCACTAGCCTGGTCACATTTGACATGGTCAGCATAATAATAATTCCCTAATGCTCATTCAAATAACCCTTCTTAGCTTTGCTTTTCAGGAAACATTCTTTATAACAAATGGATTCCCTCGTGCTTCACATCTGTCCACTAATAGATCACAGATGATGTCAAAATGTCATTGACCTGTTGTTGGATTCAAAGGATGAAGGACTAATGCTCAATATGTCAGTTTTGAAACTCTTTACAATGGCCAATTTATGTTATCAACTCAGTTGATAAAACTTAACTCCCAGAAGTGATTAACATAAAACTTCTCCCTACATATCCATACATTCTTCAGCAAACAAGTAATAAAAATATTCAAACTTATTATGTAGAAGCTGCTATCTTGATCAAGCACAAAGTTCTTATAACTAATTTACAAGGAAATGTGCAGCAGCTACAGGGGAGAATTGACAATCAGATCTTGAGAGTTAAAGGGTTTTTACTACATTTTGATGTCTTCTTTGATGTATTACTGAACCAACCCATAGCAGCATGGAATCTATTTGCTTTATATATAACAAAGAAGGCAAAATGTTGTTAATGGTGATGTCATCTATGTCTCTAACACTCCATAAGTAAAAACCATTTGAAATGTGCATATGACTTAGCTTACAACACAATGCTTCCAGACATGTTGTCAGAGCCAAAAGGGCTAATTTTTATGAATATTTGAAGAAAGGTTTGTAACACAGTCTCTTCCCTTTTATTTCCATTTTAAGATAACCAGTTTCAACAATTAGGAGTTAGGCAGACAGGGATTTTTGACTCCAATCATAGCTCATTGACAAATATCAGAGCTGTTTATGAACTGAGCGTTTCGTTTCACCTACATGGCCTGGTTACTAAGTTGTTATCAAAACAACAGCATTCATCACATTCGAAGACAATTTTTAAATGTTCAGCGTAAAAAATCACATATGTAAATTAAGATAATTTTCAAGACTTTCAACGGCAGAGATAAAAAAAATATGTTTCTTTTCTAGAGCACACTTATCCCCTTGCATGGGTGTTGAATAACTTCATATTAGGCAAAATTATTTATAGGCATAGAAATCAATATTAATAGTTACATAGGCAAAGTCTTGCTCTAAACTGAAATGAGTTCAGATATGAGCAAGAATATAAACAAAATGTTTGTGAAATTTTATCCGATTGAATTGAATACAATTAGCCTTGGAAAAATAAATAAAGTATACAAGTCGAAGAAGTTTACTATTTGAAGAAAGTCAGCTGTATTGAAGTAGATTTCGATATAAAATGGTACATTTACTACTCCTTTCCCAATCGACTGATTCTTAAAGAGTGAAGGCGAAATACTAAGCTGCTGGCGGAAATACTTTTACTAATCCAGCGCAAAACCGTGTAAGTATATCCAAGACAGAGCTCGAGAGCTTCGCAATTATGTTGACAGTAAAACTCAACTTGGAGACAAATAAATATTTGTTTAGACTGTAAGCTAAGCCTCTGTAACGTATTTGGAAGAAAGAACTCTGTGATAGACTGGTAGATCACTTGTTAGGTCGATCAGGTACTTGCTTGATCGACCATTAGTAGAGCTGTGGGCAGAGGCCTGTTAATCCTACTTTACATACTTAAGGCGCTCATCTTTAAATTTAAATTCGACCCCTACATAAAACAGTATATTGCTTTATATAACGAACGGGGTAGTTTATAAATCTGTTCCACTATTTTTGTTTTTTTGAACCAAATGCTGCATAGCGACTCTTACAACGTTCAGGCCACTACCCGCAGGGGGTGACTCCGATCTACCTACAACCATCAATGAACAGCGAGCCCACAAAAATACAATTAGCGGGAAAACAACTTTAATATCTTTAGCATTTTGGCTCTCACCTGGCCTTTACGAGAAGAAAAGGAGTGCTTGAAAATACATTTGCTGGACCCTCGGTTATTGCAGCAAAAACATCTCTGTCGTGAATACGAATCCTGTTCGAGTTGCTTGCCATGTTGAAATCTTCTTACCCAGTCTTCCTTCAATCAATAGGCGATTTTCAAACAAGTTCAAGCTCTTGTAACGCAAGTTTTTTTTTTGAGGACTTGTCACGCAAAGGTATAAAAAAAAACAAAACAAAAAAAACAGATAGAGCAAATAAATAAAACGACCAACAAACGAAGAACAGCTTTTTTAGCATCTAACTCACCGCTGTCATTTAAACTAGATTCTCGAAATCCTTTTGTTTCTGCCACGATAGTAGTAATTTAGTCGCGCGATACTTCTTAAAAACGGCTGCGAACTTGTACTCATAAACTTAGGCATCGCATATGAATGCAATGGCTAACAGAGACATAGATATCGAAGAAAAAAGGACAATATCGGCATTGACACACTGAAAACACTCAAAGCTCTAGGCGCCGTCTGCATTCTCCATCGCTCCCCAATCAGCATTTTGTGACGAGACTAACCAGCGTGTGACAAGGTAACCAAGCTTGTCGACACCCAATGGGAAAGTATAAAGGAAATTTTAATCCAAGCTCGAAGCGCAAACATCCGAACTTTCCTCTAAAGGCACAAGGCAATATATTTGCACAGAATTTTTACCCCACGAGGTCTTCTCTTATGTGACGCTTCCATCGTTTTTCTTGCCACGCAGAAATAAGTCAGTCCACGTCGCAGGCCATGCCACTTCGGATGGTTTTGCAAGGGGCGTTGAAACAGGACGATGGATTCATTCATGAACGTAATCTAACAAATCTAGGAACAAACGTATGGTGCAAAATTGTGAGGTAATGGGTTTCTAAATTGCAAAGTAAATGAGAGCCAAAAGGTCTTCCTTCATAAAAGCACTCGGCTAGAAAGATGTTTCTTGACTTTTGCGATACCCTTTTCCTTAGATCAATATCTTTCAATGAATAATAAAACAAGGAAACAAATAACAAGATTTAGTACAATAGGAAAGAGGATTCCAACTTGAACGTGTCTCTTGAGAGGATAATAGCATCTACACTTTAACAAATCGTCCCCGACAAACCCTCTCGTTATGGATCTGGTATAAAAGCTATTGAAAAAGAGAACTTGTCAAAGACACTCAAAGTTGCGCGTGTAAATGCTGCTGATGGCAACTTGTATGTTTGGAAACAATTTTACAAAACATTTTTTTAATTATCTCTATCTCTAAAGTAACATTTCCGAGGCATATCACTCATGATTGCCAACAGAAAACACAATATCAGATATGGAAACCTTCGATTTAATCAAGTAACGCGCAACTCGTAACACTCGCTGGAATAACATCGCCGTTGTTCCCTAATTTGTTTTACAAATTAAAAATAATCATTGCAACTTAAAATTTTTAAAAGATTAACTTACGGAATGTCCAAAGAGGATAATGAATATCCTCATCACGTCAAAAAAGTAATCCATAAAGTTTGGGCAGAAAACTTAAAAAATTACACTGTTGACAAGAAAAGTGACACAAACGGGGTCTATATCTCATTAGTGCAGCACCAATAGTCGTTATCACATTGTAAACATCATTTGGATCTTTTCTACACTACAACTAGTAACCGTCGTTGACAAAGTAACACAAAATACATAATTATCGAAGTAGGTGAACTGTTTTAGTTTTCGTCTATAAATAATTGTCTATAAATTTGCTTTGAGCGAGTTTCTGGTTAAATAGAAACAAATGGTACAAATCAACCAACACAAGAGAACTGACGTGTCAATTTTTATGAATAGAAAGTTTTATCATAGGAAAATCCCATTTTGATGAGCTCCTGAAGTTTCGTGATCAAGTGTAATTTTCTCTCTTTACGACTACTACTCGAATTTGACCATTTTATAAGTGGCCATGGCTATTTGCCCCGTGGACATTTATTCAGTAGTGTTGAAGAATTTGCTCTAGAGTGCGACCTAATTACAGTGATTTATATTTGAGTCACGCGCCACAAGTACGGTACTTCCAGGTTTTTATCCCTGGGGTATGTCACACGGGATTTTTGATGATTCTACCCATACGATAATCGTACACCTGCCGGCAGAAGAACACCAGATTGGGATCTGTTCGAGGCTGAGGAACCGAGCCAGGTTTCGTACTTTCTCCCGGGGGAACCGGAGAGAGTGGAGCTTCTCTGAATTCACGAAAGAGTCTATTAAGAGCACGGAACCTGCCAAGTACAACAAAAAATAAAAAGTGCCATTAACATCAAGCTTAAAGTTAACAGCAAATTTGTTATGCAGCTGTTTCGAGAAAGGTTGTCTAAATAATACGTAAAAGTACCACGCGACAACCCCGAAATGTATCGTGGGTAGTTGTCAGATCATGGTTTCTTGACCTCTGGATTTCAAGGAAATCTGAGATAACGCCACAGCAAGGACGAGGGTTTGATGAATATATTTATCTATTTAATTATTTATTTGACTCATTAAAATTCGTTGATAAACGGATACCCAGGTAACTTTTCGAGATTGTTGCGCGTACTTTTAGTATTTTCTTTTCCAACAAACTTTCTCGAAACAGCTGCATGTGTAAGTGTGTTAGAGTATGACATCAGTCTACGGTTAAACTCTGCTACCGATAAAACACTACACTTTCTTTACAAACTTAAATCCTTTATTTATTAGTCTAAGGTAGTGTCCAATGTAATTAATAGCGGAGCTCGCAGAGCGTAACCCCATAATTATACAAAATAGTAGTAACCCATCAAGCCGACAAAATTTGGCTGTACGACCGTACAAGGTGCTTCTTTTAACATGCGTGGTCAACTGTACCGCGGGCACGCCAACGTCAGTGCACTGGGCTCCGAGTCGGACGACCTGGGTTCTATTCCTGGCCGGGGCAAGGTGTTGTGCCCTTGAGACGTGCGGAAAAAAAAAAGGCTAGCTCCGCTTTTAGGCGTGGCTAAATCTCTATATTAATTATCCCGTGACCGACAAGGAGGTGAAGAGTGGAGGGCATTCCCATGCCGGCTCTTTGTTTGGATGTTCAATATGTTTTAAAATTTAGAAAAGCATACATAATTCAAAAAATATGGCGAAGAAGCCGAGAGACGAGACAATACGACATGTAGGTTAAATAAAAGAAGGCGTTGTTTTCTTAAGTAATATTACCTGCAGTACTCTGGATAACTGAGAACGTAGCACTTGTCTACAATACACGCTACACTGTTATCATCTTTGTGCCTCGATGCCATCACTTCCATCTATTGATAGTTCATAAAAAAAAGGCGATCGCAACATTGTCTAAGACAAGTTAGAGTAATCGTTACAATTTACGGATAACAAACGCACGAACGCACGAGTTGCAACGTGAACGACATTTTCTAAAACAGAAACAGTGTTACATGAAACACTTATAGTCCATAAACAACAAAAATAAGTGTTTAAGGAAGGAAAAAATAAAAAAGAATAAGGAATCATTGCCGAGGTAAAGCAGCCGTACACATTTCATGAAATATTACGTCCAACTACTTCAATCAACACTAGAACATGAAGTTTAAAAAAAAACGGTGTCTTACATCGCCATGAAAGTTTGGAATTCTCCCGACTTCAGTCTGCTCTGGTCGATAATACCAAAACACACTCATCATCATCTCGCCAGCGTTCGGACCTGCAATCGGGAAAAGGCGGTTTCAGTCGACACATGCCAATGCCAAAGTGTAAACGAAAAGAAGGTTTTCTTTCACGAGTACAGGCCATGCCACAAGAAAAAAGTTATTTGCCTTTTTACTTTTAGTTTGATAAACTGAAACACCTGCCTAATGATTAGAACATAATAAAGCGGCCACTACAGAACAACACTAACCCGAGGAACAAGGTTAATGTTAATGATTTAAAACTTAATGGTTTGGAGAGTAGCAAATTTACTTAGAAGACTTCTATTACTACTTGCTAAAAAATATGTTGATCCTTGTTAACATGGAGTAAAGGAATTCTGCCATGGTTGTGATAGCATCTACCTCATAAAAGGGTGCGATAGTCTTCAAATTATTTTGGGAGCTGCAGTCGTCCAACACAAACATTCTAAATGTCACCTTCGGTCAAAATTCAAAACGGCGCCTAATTAAGTTGCGCTATCAAATTTAACTGACTACCATGCAATCTCAAGTGATCCTGCAAAACCGGTCGTATCTGTTTTAAATGTCTGTGAGAAGACTTTTTTTCTAATAGATAAACTAATATCAAAGCCTTCCCCATCGAAACGATGCAGATTGATAAAAGTCAGAGGCACTGGTTGCGTAACTAAAAAAACAAGAAGCAACAAACCCACCTTCGTCTTCTTCCCACAGCCCTGAAACACGTGCAACGAAAGGTGGATCCTTCTTTCGGGTTCCTGATTTGAGGAGAACCGAGTCACGCACATTGATGATCTCATCTCCACGCTGAACACCGCTGTAATACCGCCGTATCACTATAGTCTCGTCCTGAAAGTGAGGTCACGTCTTGTTAGTTGTAGGGACGAAATTCGAGAGAGTTTTTTTCCAACATTATACCCTCCTTTGTCGCTGTTCTTCGAAATGCCCCGCAACACTACCCCAAAGAGATGTTGAGTGACAACCCATGAACGGCTGCGAAGGAGACTACCGAACAGGCGGCCAAATTTAAAATTATCATGAGGAAACATTAAAGCCATTGTAAGAGGTAATTTATCCAAATGGTGCGTACAAACCATGTAAGGTAAATACAAGTCATATCATTGGAGAACTGACGGTCTGAACGTTATCATATTTACAGTAATTAACCGGGCTGTTGTATAGGAAGGCAGCGCATGTGTGAACGTGGTAATGCCAAGGCAGTGTTCTTGTCAGAACCAAGTTGTCTCACACGAGTTACAAACGACCACACAAGCCAGTAAATCACGTTGTTTTGTAAAAAAAAATTTTAAGTTTTAGGCAAAGCTCAAAACAGAATAGTAAATCAACTGGACACCCGCACTTCCATAAGCTTTGCGTTCGAAAAATCTCGAGTTTTACTTTTCCCTACTTTTATTACTTTTGAACGTATCAATTTTCTTTCGCTT